AGGAAATGGTTGGGCGGGCACGCTCAGGCGTGAGTGGGGAGGGTACGTATCTATATGTCGCGGTGTGTTGTAGTGTTGGTTTCTCGCGTTTAGGCGCGGTAGAGGCGTTCGTCATGGTCACCAACTCAACGCTATAGCTGTCTCTCTTGGTATCGGACTTGCTTAGAGAGAACGGATGTGATTGCTGCATGCTTTGTTTGCAGCACCTTCACCAGCCAGGGGTTGAGTAGAAAGTAAACGGCGGTATTGTATGTATGTATGTACATATGTAACGTGTAAATATTGTAAATATGGATTGACAACGTTTTAACTGATGTTCTGAAGGCGTATACGTGTAGAAGGGAGGGGTTGAGCGGGGGTCGTGGTGTACTTTGGGGGCTCCGTGGGGTCATGAGGGGGTGGGGGGGTGGGGGCTCCGTGGGTCATTTTGGTCAAAAATGTCGCATTTCACCCAATCACCAAAAACTCATCGGATATCGACGAAGCTCGACGCCGCGGTCACGCCCAAAGTTGTTTCACTTTCCAAATCGTGAATGTTTGCCCGAACGGACCATGTGACGATGCATTATTGTCGCCCATCACACCGAACCAACATGATCCAATGACCCCTATGCAAAGAAACATGTTTACGTACGATGCAGGCGTGCACGAAGATGTGCACGGGATAATAATCTGACGCGGTTGGTGCCACCAAACGGATCCTGAGACTCCTGTATTTTCCCGAATTGTTTTGTTTTGCGGCGTATTGACAGCTTGAAGGTAGATCAGAATCCCAGCCCCGCTCTCTCTCGTGCTCTCCGAGTGGGCGCTGCGCGGCCCTGTGGTCTAAGAAGGCTTAGTCTAAACAAAAGAGATCAAACGAAAACTAACTGAGGACAGTTATCGGAGCAGCCGTCCTTCTCCTTTCAACTACTGTGGTTATGTTAAGGACTTTCTTCCTTAGACTACACCTGGCCACAGAGTATCGGTGACGACGGAAAGGAGACCCTGGAGCATTCCGCACGATGTGGGTGACGAGAGAGAAAAATATGCGAAAAACCTGTGTGATGGGTAGATCATAGCCGTGTTAGCGCTGGCTAGCGGAGTCGCGGAGGTCGCCCTCCTCGGAGTGAAGGTATGAAAGAATGCAACGCAATACTGTGCAGAGAGAGGTGGGGCTCGTTCCCACGCAGGATTTGAATACTCACGCGGTGACTGCGTAACCACACACATCCATCATTGTACAGACTGCAGCCGAGGACGCGCTGTTGTCATGAGAAGGAGTAACTTCGCTGTCGACAGCTATTATAGTTGCTTGCACGGTCTACACTGCTAGACTAGAATATACATTTGTTTTGCGTGGTTCCCCCGCCGCTGGGGCTGCCTGACAAAGCGGGGAGCGCACCCACAGCAGCAGCAGCAAGCCCCGCAAAACCGCACGGGCGCTCGGAAACAAATGGAATGATATTGATTGTGACCGGCGAGAGCATGGACAATGCATATCATATGGATACATAGTCTACGCAGTAGGGTATGGGTGTTTGTGCCCTCTGTTGTCTCTGTGTGCATGACATGGCCACATTGTCGAAAAATGAAAAATCCAAAAAAAATCGGGGTGGAGAATCAGAAGCGTTATTTGTTCCTCCGCTGTTGCCCCTGCTACTGAAGTCCAGTAACACTGTACGAAAGTGTGGTGTTCTGGGCCAGCTCAACCAGGAAGGATCCATGTGGAGGAATTGTCTGCATGGCGGACGGAAGCAATGAGGCCTCTCTCTCTCGACTGCTGCTGTGTAGCATACTCTACCGCAAGGCAACAAGTAGGCGCCCTCAGCATGTTTGTTCGTCACTATCTGGCATCACCATCAGACATCAGAGCCGTTACAGAGGTTGGTTGTGGGTTGTGAGTGCGTGCGCGTGCGCACTCAGTTTTTTTTTCACCAATTCACCGCAAACGAAGATGTGTGTCTCCAAACCACACGCATGTGTAAAGTCCAACCCTCCAATATAACGCACTCTCTGGTAGACTACACATAGACGCATATACTCGCCCACACGAATGTAGAGTGCGTCATCAGCCCTGATGTCGAGGCTACTGTACCGACAATCGACGGGGGGGAATCATGTGTTTTGCTCTGCTGACAGTAGTAGTGACTCTAACACCAGCAAACAGATATACCACTCGGTGTCGACATCTGTCGTATCAACCAACTATCATCAACCAACCGCTGACGTCAACCACGAACATTCAACAAACCGTTGCAAACCGGTGTAGTTATCGTGCCCAGCGTTTTTTTCGGGAATTAATTGTGGTTCACCGACTTTCGCTCTGGCGAGAAGATTTACCGGAACAAAACTGACAGCAGTCCCGCCGCAGCCCACAACACTTCGTCAAATATAGACTAGACTAAACATCCTTCCGTTCCACAAACACACCCGTCCTTGCGCACCACCACACTATACACACACTCTCCCCTCCTCCCCCCCTTCTCACCAGCACTCTCTTGCGCACCGCCACTACCATACCCAGCGCACGAGAGGCCACTTGTTGCCTGTACAGCGTTCTGCTGCTGCTGCTTCCCCCTGCTGCGCTGCCATTGGTACAAGAAACATTTTGTTGGAACGACGACACCACCCATGGCGTGCTGCCACAGCGAGAAGACCAACTCCAGCAGCCTTCCCGCCCCGCGGCTACTACGCAGTGCAATTCTTCTTCTGCTACTGCTTCTCTCGCCTTCGGCATTCGCGGTCACGTATAACGTTAGCGCTGATGGCGACGGGTTCGATCTTTATGAAGCGATGGACCTGGCGCAGGCCGGGGACACGGTGAACCTCCAAAACGGCACCTACGACAGCGCCCTGGTTTCAGTCAGGGACGGCGAGTTCGGCAGTCCGATCACCGTGGCCGGCGGGCCCGGGGCCATCATCAAGGGGTCCTCCAGCAGCCGCTCCGTGTTCATNCCTCCCCCCCTTCTCACCAGCACTCTCTTGCGCACCGCCACTACCATACCCAGCGCACGAGAGGCCACTTGTTGCCTGTACAGCGTTCTGCTGCTGCTGCTTCCCCCTGCTGCGCTGCCATTGGTACAAGAAACATTTTGTTGGAACGACGACACCACCCATGGCGTGCTGCCACAGCGAGAAGACCAACTCCAGCAGCCTTCCCGCCCCGCGGCTACTACGCAGTGCAATTCTTCTTCTGCTACTGCTTCTCTCGCCTTCGGCGTTCGCGGTCACGTACAACGTTAGCGCTGATGGCGACGGGTTCGATCTTTATGAAGCGATGGACCTGGCGCAGGCCGGGGACACGGTGAACCTCCAAAACGGCACCTACGACAGCGCCCTGGTTTCCGTCAGGGACGGCGAGTTCGGCAGTCCGATCACCGTGACCGGCGGGCCCGGGGCCATCATCAAGGGGTCCTCCAGCAGCCGCTCCGTGCTCATCGCGCACAGCTTCATCACGCTCAAGGTGTGTGGGAGGGTGGGACAGATACTACAGATAGGCGTGTAGGGTTGGATCCAAGCTGTGTGACTGTCTGAACGGTTGGATCTTTCTTTGCATGATAATGAGCATGGTCGCATGAGTCCCGAAGCTGTCTGGTTGCTACTCCTGCTGCTGGCAGTTGAAATGGCGCAACAAGGAGCGAATGAAACATTGCTCGATGCACCATTTGCGTCGTTACCTGCTACAATACACGGGAGATAGTGTGTGGCTGCTAGAAACACCGTGGGCTACAGCACGTACGGTTTGTGTCGCCAGAGTGTGTCGGTTGAGATGCACGCATGCACGACGAAATTTCTCACCGAGCTCGACATGTAATCTAGTCTACAGCAGTAGATGCGCTGTTGCAGCAGATGTCTTCGGAATATTGGTTCATGCCGATGGGCCGTCTTTGTGCTTCGGTGGTCCTGCCGCGCAGAGAGGCTCGAAACTGCTCCACCGCGTGCAGCTGCCAGAAACTACCCAAGGTGCTAAGCACGGGCCTGCAAGTACGGCAACAGCATGGACTGCACTATGCCGTGATTCAGGCGAGGGGGGCGGGGAAGACGCCGGAGCAGAAGAAGGCAGCCGAGGCGAAGGCGCTTGCGGCTGCGCAGGAAGTGCGCAAGAAGTCGATGGCAGCGACCAGGGAAGCCTTCAACACGTGGACGAGCAAGAGAGCCTCCCGGAAGGAGCAGCTACGGCTGTGGATTTTGCGCAACACGATGAATTTTTCGAGGAAATGGTTGGGCGGGCACGCTCAGGCATGAATGGGGAGGGTACGTATCTATATGTCGCGGTGTGTTGTAGTGTTGGTTTCTCGCGTTTAGGCGCGGTAGAGGCGTTCGTCATGGTCACCAACTCAACGCTATAGCTGTCTCTCTTGGTATCGGACTTGCTTAGAGAGAACGGATGTGATTGCTGCATGCTTTGTTTGCAGCACCTTCACCAGCCAGGGGTTGAGTAGAAAGTAAACGGCGGTATTGTATGTATGTACGTACATATGTAACGTGTAAAAATGTAAATATGGATTGACAACGGTTTAACTGATGTTCTGAAGGCATATACGTGTAGAAGGGAGGGGTTGAGGGGGGGTCGTGGTGTACTTTGGGGGCTCCGTGGGGTCATGAGGGGATGGGGGGATGGGGGCTCCGTGGGTCATTTTGGTCAAAAATGGCGCATTTCACCCAATCACCAAAAACTCATCGGATATCGACGAAGCTCGACGCCGCAGTCACGCCCATAGTTGTTTCACTTTCCAAATCGTTTTTTTCGAAAGATATCGCGAAAAACAAGATTGATTGTGAATATTTGCCCGAACGGACCATACAACCAACCACATTTTGAAGAATGTTGAGCAGTCCTTTGGTGTTGACCGGGACCAAACATTCAGGGTGGTAACAATGAGCAAGTTGGACCGTCAATGTCATCGTAGTTTTCAGTCTCACACACAAATATCGGTGTGTGTACCAGGAAGCAGTAGTAGATATACTCACGTCACATACATACATACATGATGTGCGGTGTTACGTAGTTCGGCAGCAGCGCCAGACGCGTACGTAGTCTATTAGCAAGTCGTAGGTTGCATGTTGCGTTTAGCTCATGTTCTGAAACATGGCCGAACCATAGTCCGATCGTTACTCGGACATTAATTTACACGTACTATTGGTTTCTCTGCGGTGTCTTTTCTTCATGCGCGTTTCCGATATTCCGCGCTCATTTCGGCTTCTTCTTCAAGCGTACGTCATTTCGTATTTTCCAAGTGCGATGCTGCCGACATTCTATTTACGGACGCCAAACAAAGAATTTGTTGCGAAATAAATTGCGCCATACATTATTTCTTGTTTTTGCCTTCCGACAATTGCAGATGTACCTCACTCAGAAAACTTTCACTTTATGTCTCATACTCTACATGAATATTAAACCAATACGAAGCACAACAACATATGTAGGACAGATTTCGACTGTCACTTACATCGTAAAAATATCTTCTCTTCAATTTGAAATAAAACCAATGACAATCCTCACGGTATCCTACAGAGATATTTCGCTGTGCACTAGCAGCAGTACGATGCTGCAGATGCCAGNAGATTTCGACTGTCACTTACATCGTAAAAATATCTTCTCTTCAATTTGAAATAAAACCAATGACAATCCTCACGGTATCCTACAGAGATATTTCGCTGTGCACTAGCAGCAGTACGATGCTGCAGATGCCAGGAGGCTGTGTAGCCTACCTCACTCAGAGGTTCACACTCTGTGCGTCTCCAACCGCGAGAGGCTTAGAATGGAAATATGAACATGCTTTTATTAGTCTAGTTGCTGACTCCCGAGTCAGATGTTGCTGGT